GCAGCAGTAAGAATAAATCTAGTGTGTGTAATTTCAGGAAGAATTACTCTGTTATCTACTTCTAACATTCTTAAAGCCCCTTCTTCTAAGTCAGATTCAGGCACTAGATAAGAATCAAATTCTACAAAATCTCCATCACTGTTTAAGAAATCTGGGTATTCGTAACTTCAATATCATTGGTGCCCTTCTGCTAATACAGATAGTGAAGGATCAGTAACTTCATCCATTAAGTATAATAATTTGAAAGAAGGGAAAGCGATTAATACTAAAATTAAAGCAGGAGTAATTGTTCAAATTAATTCTATTAATGTACCGTGGTTAAGATATTTGTTACTTATAGGCGATTTAGCACTATCGAAATTTTTAATGATAGCTCCTTGTATTCAACCAACACTAAATAAGATAGCAACTAAGTAATACATAATATTATCGTGTAATTCTATTAAAGCTTCCATTTGTGGGCTAGCACTATCTTGGAAGTAAAGTCCTCAAGCTCTAGGTGCATCACATAGGAATTCGCTTGAAAAAGCAAATAAAGAGCTAATACCTATAAAAAAAGAAGCTAAAATACCACTACTTTGTAATGGTAAGCTAGTAAATGCGTGAGGTTTAGGTGGATTGTGTAATGCTCACTCTAACCCTGGAGCACATTTATCTTTAAGTATACGTAAGTAATCACTGAATAATTGAGGAACAGCTCAAGGATATCCAAATACAGCTTTACCTTTAACAAGTTGTAAGTACACTATGTGTAAGAATAGTGCAGTAGCAGCTACAGATATAAGAGAACCAATACTACTAATAAAGTTTCAACCTGTAAATGCATCAGGGTAATCACTAATTCTACGTGGCATACCTTGTAATCCTAAGAAGTGTTGAGGGAAGAAAGTTAAATTTACCCCTGTGAATAAAACTCAGAAATGAGCTTTAGAATAAAGTAAATTATAATCTAACCCTAAAATTTTAGGTATTCAGAAGTATCATCCACTAAATAAGGCAAATACAGCACCCATACTTAAAACATAGTGGAAATGAGCAACTACGTAGTAAGTATCGTGGAAAGCAATATCAAGTGATGCGTTCGCAAGAACCACACCTGATAATCCCCCAATAGTAAACATAAATACAAAACCTAGCGCAAATAGTAATGATGGTATAAAGTGTAAAGAACCACCATAACAAGTTGCTAATCAAGAGAATATTTTAATACCAGTAGGTACAGCAATAATTAAAGTTGCAGCTGTGAAATATGCTCTTGTATCTACATCTAATCCAACAGTATACATATGATGAGATCAAACTACAAATCCTAAGATACCAATAGAACACATGGCGTAAACCATACCAAGGTATCCAAACACGCTCTTGTTAGAGTTAGCTGAAATTGTAGTACTAATTATACCAAAACCTGGAATAATTAAAATGTAAACCTCTGGATGTCCGAAGAATCAGAATAAATGTTGGTATAATATAGGATCACCACCACCTGCTACTTCAAAGAATGAAGTATTAAAGTTTCTATCAGTAAGAACCATAGTAATTCCACCGGCTAAAACAGGTAATGATAATAATAATAAAACAGCTGTAATAACAACTGCTCATGCAAATAGGATTAATTTATGTAATCTTATTCCAGGACTTCTCATATTAAATGTAGTAGTCATAAAATTCATAGCCCCAAGTAAACTTGAGATACCGGAAAGATGTAACCCGAATATAGCCAAGTCCACACTTGGACCACTATGACTTTGTATTCCTGATAATGGTGGATAAAGAGTTCATCCTGTACCTACACCATTTTCAATTCCACCTGCAAATAAGAATAAAACAATACTAGGTATTAATAACAAGTAACTAATGTTATTAAGTCTAGGGAATGCCATATCAGGTCCTCCTAATCCTAATGGAAGTAAGAAGTTACCAAACCCCCCGATTAAAGCAGGCATAACCATAAAGAAAATCATAATTATAGCATGAGCAGTAATAATACTGTTATATAATTGATTATCAGCAATATACTGAACTCCAGGTCCTGAGAGTTCTAATCTAATTAACACAGAAAAAGCTGTACCTATTAGACCTGCAAATAATGCATATATTAAATATAACACACCAATATCCTTAGCATTGGAAGATAAGAATCATCTTTCAAATCACATGCTTATCGTTGACGTTTTAATTGCTAGGTCGTTGTACCTATTATAATCTTCTGCAGAAGATATTATTGTGTTCTTTTTAGCGAAACTAATAGGATTATAAGGGGTCACACTTATATATAAAAGAAGTGTAGTTGTATATTTTCATTTTTTTGAAAAATATAGTAAAAAAAAGTTCATTTTACTACACCTAATGCTAATTACACTAAAGTATAGAAAAGGTTATCTTATTGCGAGTACTATTACAATAAGACTCCATCTAACTTGTGCTTATTATGTATTTAATTCGTTGTTTGAACCAATGCCTTCGAGCATAGATAGTATTTATATCTATTAAACAGTCATAAAATTTTTCTTAGTAACGAGAGCCCCAATTAAAGTCTTAGTATGGGGGGGGATAAACGCTTATTTTTTTTTGTAGATTTTTTAATTACGATTTTCCTAACTATATATAAATAAATAATTGGTTAAACGTACATTGCTGTGAAAAATGGAAGACATAGTCTACAAATATCTTGTATGTATACAGTGTAGAGGGATACGAAGGAGTTGAACCTTATATTTATGATCTGCAATCAAAATGCATAGCCCTATGCAACATACCCCTTTTTTTTAGAGAGATATTTTTCACTATCTCTCTCTAATACTTTCTACTAAAAGTAAAAATAAAAATAATTTTTACTATAAAATAAAAACACTTTTTGCTAAAGCTAAAAATAAAAAAGTTAAGCTTTTTTACTGAAGACTAATGTAATTCTAATGCATCTTTAATGTATGAACAAGATAAAACTACAAAAACTTGTGATTGAATAAAGGCAATACCTAGTTCTAATCCAGAGAATGCTATTATAAATGCTAATGGTAATAATCCTAAAATAAAGAAAATTATACCAGAGCTCATAATATTATAAGTAAATCCACTTAAAATATTTAAAAGCATGTGACCAGATAATATATTAGCTGCTAATCTAAGTCCTAGAGACACATTTCTCGCTAAATATGAAATAAACTCGATTAAAACTAACAGTGGTAATAATCCTAAAGGACAACCTGCTGGAACAAATAAAGAAAAGAATTTTAATCCATGTTCTTTGAACCCTAAAACAGTAGCACCTAATACTACTGTGAAACTAAGTGAGAATGTTAATATAAAATGAGATGTAGATGCAAAACTATATGGTATCATACCTATAAGGTTATTAATTAAAATAAAGATAAACAAGGCATACATAAATGGGAAATAGGCTTGCCCACTTTTATTGTTAATTTGGTTTACTACAATACTGTGGATAGTAGCATATAATGTTTCTTGGCTTAAAGATCAACTATTTGGAGTAATTTTTGAATGGTTAGTAGCTAAAACACTAAAGTAAAAAGCTATAAAGGCAGCAATTGTCATATATAACCCTATATTTGTAATAGATAGGTTCATATTTGCTAATAGTGGTGTATCGATACTAAATAAGTTTCTTATTTCGAATTGATCTAGCGGACTCGCTATTGTTTGGTAGTGGTTAAACATGTATAAAATTCTTTTTGTTTACTACAAGAATGGTGGTTTACAATAAAAGCAATAAGACTAAATTTATTATTACTTTTATTAGCTATTATGCTATAATGTATTAAAGGCAAACATTGTACAATGAATGTAATGTTGGATAAATGACTATTACTTGGATACAAATAAGCCGGATCCTGTGTGTAATATTTAACTAAAATAAAGATTAATTAAGGCTTTTTATTTCATAATTCTAATAAAACACTAAAAGTTTTTATGGTTAAATTTTCTGTGCATTACCCAAGCTTGTGCTTCACTAAAAAAGCTATATGTTAATCACCGGACTTTCCTATCATTATCTTAACAACACTAATTATAATAGCTGTAAGATTTACATTTGTATCACAAGTTTAACAACAATATATAAAAATCAAATAAATGCCTTTTCTAAGGGGGGGGGGAGGGTAGTTTACTAAGCTGTAAATGGTTAGTTAACTTTAAATTATGTAAAAAAAGATATTTCCTATAGCCAAGAGAGATAATTTAATTCCCACTATAAATGCATGAAATTAATGTCCTACCTATTGAACTATTATATTTTCTTTCTCTCAACTATATATTATCTTTATATAGTTTGTTTTTATCTATGTAATTTAATAAAGCAGAATGGCTTATCTGTAATTCTCTAGCAGCGTGCCTGAATCTGACTTAGAATAAGGGGCTTTTGCCATTATATATTTTGCTCTTATATATTTTGCTCTTATATATTTTGCTATTATATATTTTGCTCTTTTAGTTAGGTAATTTATAGATAAATAACTTGACAAACGTGAATTTAAATTAACGGAACTTCCAACATAACTTTTACCATTTATTTTATTTACCCATCTATAAATACCGCATTTGTGTTTATTGTCTTCTAATATTATTTTTTTTTAGTAATAAATACATCTTCATGAACAATAATACTGCTAGAAGAATGATTATGAAAACTTACTTTAAGACTGGTCTCTGAAATTTTAAAACTGGTCTGTTAAATAATCGAACTCTTTAAATGTAATTTATTTAATATGTTTTTAATCTGTTTTTTGCCATGAGCCAGAGGAGAAATTCGAATTCTCATTATTAATGCATGAAATTAATGTTCTAACCATTGAACTACTCGGGCTTTATTTTTATACGATTTTTTTTTTTATTATTAAAACTATATTGCCGTATCATTTAATACTAAAATAGTTATAGCCTCTATCTAATTATAAAAGTAATAAAGTCTATATAAGAAATAAGTAAAACTATATTAAACTATAGAATAGTTAGCACATAAATAACGATCCTATTTAAATTCCTGTACTGGGAGGATACCCTGGATCGAACAGGGAACTTACTGTTCCACATACAGTTGTTCTGCCAATTGAACTACATCCACCTTTTCTATGTAGGGGTGATTCGAACACCCATAAGTAAATACCAAAAATTTATGACTTACCATTAGTCTACTACATATTAATAATTATAAACATATTTAACTACTAAACATCTGTTTTAACTAATAGACAATATTACTATAATTTATATGGGTAATAAGACTCGAACTTATATGAATTATTTCACCCCGTCCTAAGCGGGACCTGTCTACCAATTTCAGCATACCCATTTTTTTTTATTGTATGTATATAATGTAATAAGAAGTTTACTATTCGTATGTTGTAGTTCAGCTCTACTTGTATAAACTTTATTTGCTGAATAACGAATTTTATTGTCCCGTCTACGTTTAAAAAGTATTTTTCTTTTTCCTTCTTTTCTTTTTACAAAACGCAAACGATAAATTAACTCCTAACTGTTACTACTAAATAGCATAAAAGGAGTTTTATTCTTTATATAGAAAAAAAATTATTACATTTTTATTAAAAAGTAATAAATTGCCCAAGATAAGATTTGAACTTATAACCTAAACACCTTCAAAGTTTCGCTCTACCAATTGAGCTACCTGGGCTTTTTTTTTGCTAATTACCCTTATTTATACAGAACTAACGTATTTTTTTTTATTTTTAAAAAAAGCATCACTCTTTTTATAGTTACGAATAGTTCATTCACAAATACTTAAGAAACTAGCAGCTTTTACATTATTATACAAAAAAAATATAGCCTTAGCTATCTAAAGATCTAATAGTTTAACAGCTGAATATAGATTAGGTGCAAGAGACATTTTTAACCTAAATTCTTTACTGTGTTTTCTGGCTAAAAAAGTATGGTGAATTAATAATTTGAAATTTAATTTTAACATTGGAGATATTAGGACTCGATCCTAAAATAACGATATGCAAAATCGCAGTTTTACCAATTAAACTATATCCCCTTAAGCTAATAGAAATAGCTCTTAGACCCAAGCGGGGTTCGAACCCGCGCGTTTAACAGTGAAAATGTTACGTCTTAACCACTTGACTATTGGGCCTTAGAATTCATGTAAAGCCTACAATAGTAGATTATTGCTATTGCTTTAAATAAAAAAAATAGTTATATTACTAAATAAATTATAGACAAAAAAGAATACATTAAGTTTAATATAAGTAAAAAAGTATAACTATTAAAAAAAGTACAACTATTAAAAAAAGTACAACTATTAAAAAAAGTACAACTATTAAAAAAAAGTACAACTATTAAAAAGTATAACCATATAAATATAACTAACAAAAAGGAAACTGTTTTTAACTAACAGTTAACAAGTTTTAAATAATTAAAATACTTAATAACAAATTTTTTTATTTACATAATTTACCTTGTAAATTATGCTGTAATAAAGGTTTTACTCCAATTTATCAATATTCGTTTTAGCGAATAAGTCCGCTAAACTAAGGCCAGAATGATTTGAACACTCATCTGAGCTATTATGAGCAGCTTGCTTTACCTATTAAGCTATAGCCTTTTTTTTTTTTTTTTTTTTTTTTTTGTTTTTTTTTGTTTTTTTTTTTTTTTTTTCTTTACAACTACTAGGTAAAAGCCCTAGTTAGGCTTGTTATTTTTTTTTTTGTTTTTTACTCTTTGAAAAAGGTTGCAAAAAGTAGATGCGGACAAAGGAATTGCACCTCTATTTTCTGGTCATGAGCCAAATATGTTACTGTTACATCAACCCGCGTTTATTTTAAAAGGATTCTAGATAGCCCAGTACGAGAATTGCACTCATATCTTCCGATTACAAAACGGGTGCATTACTATTATGCAAACCAGGCTAACTAATGTATTTTTAATGATAAATATGTTATTTAGTTAATAAAAATAACCAGATAACTGTTGTATCTAGTTATAGAAAATTAGTACTTTGTACCTAAGAACATCAAAGCCCTTTCAGCCAAAGCCTATTATCCCCTCTCCTATCTTAGCACTAGCCTTAGTTATTAAACTAATTTACTAGCCGTAAGGATAGCGAGATGTGGATTCGTAATGTTATACTACGTTTCTAAGAGTATCTTAAGGTAAGCTTCGTGCCTAAATGCATTCAGCACTTATCTTAACTAACATAGCTTTCCTGCCGTGCCTATACTATTCATAAATACTTGAGTATAAAAGTATTACCATTTCTAGTTCCAATAGGAAATGAAAAAATCTCATTTTTATTACTCTCCTTATTAAGTAGCTTTGCTGTCTACTTAGTAAAGAGCACCTATTCTCACCTTAATTTTTATCAGGTTAATATTAAGCGTATAAACAACAGGTAAACCATAGGTTACCATACCCAACTCCTTTCGTACGAAGGGGCTATCCTTATTTTACTCTAATTTCCTCTAGAAGATAGAAACCATACTGTCTCACGACGTATTTAACCCAGCTCGTGTAGCTCTTTAATCGACGAACAGTCGTACCCTTCATGATTCCTGCATTCATGTGGATGAGCTAAGCCGACATCGAGGTGCCAAACTGCGCACTCAATTTGTACTCTCTTGCGCAATTAGCCTGTTATCCCCAGCGTAGCTTTTTCAATAATACAAGACCTTTCCTTACTGCGTCTTGCGGTCTTTATGCCCTGCTTACGCAACTGATAGACGTGTATGTCAAACAGTAAAGCAAGATTAAGCCATTAAACTTTGGAAGTATATATCAATATCATTTTTCTTTTAACTAAAAAAAAAAAATAACAAATACTAGTAACACTTACTAATATCTATACACCTATTTTCCACATAGGTAAAATCTTACTTATATTAAATTGTTTTAGTTCTAACTTAAATAGAAATATAACTGAATTGGTTATAGATACTTAATAAAAGTAAATATAAAAAATAACAAACTACATATAGTAATTAAAAAATTAAACCATATAAAGCAATTAGTTAATAAAAGCTTTATATAATTTGCGTATAGCATATTACAAAAATAAATTTGGATACTCCCAGGTACTCTTTATGGGATCTGTGCCCCGCATAAACCATCTGCTAGCCATTGTCTCCTGAGAGGGATCTAGTGATCCTTCTCCTTTTGTGGATTACATTCAGACGTCAGTTACAAATCTGTAACCTATTCTACTGATATAACAACCAGAGTAAAGGTGTTTCAATTTTGTCGTGTGCGACTACCTTATTCTCTAAAACCTGTTACATTATACCCTATAACTAGTAACAGTAAAGCTGCATGGGGTCTTCTCGTCTATCTAGAGATAGGCAGTATCTTCACTGCCATTCCAGTTTCACTGAGCCAATCATTGAGACAGCTGTTGCATCGTGAGATCATTCATGCGCGACATCATTTAAATGCCAAGGTATTTCGCTACCTTAGGACCCTTATAGATAAGGCCGCCATTCAATGGGGGTTCCTTCAAAACCTAAACTATATTAGTCATTTAAGTAAATCCGTTAACCAGCCATCATTGGGCAGATAGCGCACTCTATACATTGATTTACATCTTACGCAAAGTGCTGTGTTTTAATTAAACAGTCGTGCAACACCATTTTATGTCTCCTCTTCCTAAACCGATATTAATCAGTAGGAATGGCACACCTTTTCCCTCAGTTACGGTGTCAATTTGCCGAGTTCCTTAATGATTGTTAGCTCAAACGCCTTCGTATTCTCTACTAGCTTACTTGTGGTAGTTTTTAGGTACGGTTTTTTTTTTATTTTTAAGGAAAAATTTTTCTTTTTTTTTAGTTTTATTTTCTTTTTTTCGGTTCTTATCCGTTTTTTTTTCCTTATTCAGATTTGATGCTTTTCCAGAACATTTTACTCTATTTATTTATGTTGTCACATCTAATCTTCTCATCATTTTATCCTTTAGGTTAAATTTAGAGACCGAATCACTTTTCCATAAGCTTAAGGCGAGAGGTCCTATTCGGCATCCTCTTTTTCGTTACTCGTGTCAGCATTCTCGCTTGGGATATACTGGACTAGCGCTATTTAGCGATCAAACTAGGTGCTAGTTATCTTGAAACTTATGTACTTCCCTTTTCCTACCTATTATTTACTAATGGTAGTGCTTTGTGGTGCAACTACGGTTGGACTTTCTCTTTTTTCCCGTAGTTGCAAAGGGTTAATGTATTTTTTAGCTTTTTACAGCTAATGGTATTTTCACCCCCCAAGTACAAATACCTTATTTTTCCTTTGTTTCTAATCCTATTTACCCAATGTTCCGCTACCCCATAAATAATACGTAACTAGTGTTTACGTATAGTACGTAGAATTACCTTTTGTCTATAATAAATTACCTGTATCACTCACTTTCGGGTTTTGTAAATACAGCGAAACTTTTTATAGCAAAGGTAACCTAGTCTTTTTATGGACAAGGTGTCGGTGTTTTGTTTAGATCCGTTATATCTTCGGCGCTTTTAACTAAATAGGTTATTTAACTAACCTTTTGAACCAGTGCTCTGTTACGAGGTCTTTAAAAAATGGCCGCTTCTAAGCCTATTTCCTGGTTGTATCGTTTAAATACTTCCTTACTTTCACTTAACAAAAACTTTGGAACCTTAAACACTTGTTCTGGGCTGTTTCCCTTTTGACACACAACCTTATCGTTAAATGTCTGATAGTTCAACATTCATCATTGCCCTTCCGAGAGCAAATACTCGCGAATAGAGTCTTCACGACCCCCCCATATGCACAAGGCATTACCATCCTATAAGGGGTAAACAATTACCCCTACGAATGAAAATGCACAAATTGTCCGAGATTACAGTTCTGTACCTGCTATGATGTAATTTAAACTACATACTTACATATGTTTCGCGGAAAACCAGCTATAGTAGTCAGGATTGTCTTTCACTAACTTACCACAGTTCTTTGGATATCTTTACAACGATAACCCATTCGGCCTTTTATAAGCCTGACCATGGTAAGATCACTACTCTTCGGGTCTCTAATTAGATACTCATTCATTACTTAATAATTGGATTATCTAGGCAAATTATTGTTTTTTAGAACAATGAGTAGTTGCTTGCATCT